ACCCAAGAGGTTCGGGTGGTTTGCAAGTTAGGTCAATGTCTCAACCTGCAAATGGAAACTTAGCAAATATACTTGCTTAGGCTGAAACAGTGCGAGAAGTACTGCCACACCTCTGATGACATAATTTTCCAGGTATACTTCAAAATTTTAATTTTATGGGTGAAGGATGGTTTTTAAATTTCTTGCATCTTCAGCTGTTCGTCTTTTGGATCAAAACATCTGTTATGATAATGATTATCGCCATGAATTCTCCGTCCTGATCCTGATATATATGCCCATTAAGTAATAATAATAAGAGAACTGATGAGAACCTCAAGTTCTTGAAACGGAAGGAATGGTGATAGTTGAATTAAACACGCATATCCTCGATAATATTTTCCAATAGTTGAAGTCAAAACATGTTTAGAACTTCATCAGATTTATTCGATTTGCATTTTCTACAATTAGAAATGCTATAATTTCTAAATCTTCTACTGTAATCTGCAGGATTTGCGACGGACAAATTCTGTGATGGTCACCGTGAATAATCTTCTGCAGATGTGATATTAGGGGGCACAGTTTTCTTTTTTCCTTTTCCCCCTTCAAGGCCGTAACAGTTCTATGCTGGGGTGTCAAACGAGTCTTGTTGACCTCGTTTTTTTGTACAGTTGAAGTCAATAGCAGATCTCGGCTCCACTCACGTCCATGTAAGCTTGCTCTTGCACACTTGACCGTCGGAGTGCACATACATTGCCTCGCCCCTCGCTTTTTGTACATGCACACGTGGACAACAAGTCTGATGTTTCTTAAAGCTTCATTTGTGTATATAGAAGCTGCTTATATATCATTGGCTGAGGAAAACATGAAATAATTACTCTCAAGAAAATGAAAACCATTTCACTGAATGTATTGACGGCCGATCTAATTCATCTTATCAATTTATGTGATGCTATGATTCTGATTCCAGCATTTCGTTAATAAAGAAGAATATAAACATGTGAATAAAGTAAAGTTTTTGATGGAATTACAATAATGTGTAACACTATTATATAATTTTATCCTTTATTTTTCAAAATTTTCTTACTGGGACAAACTATTCGAAGTTAATTAAGGATGAATCATATGAATAATTTGTTTTCGAATACCTTTTTTCGTATAAGATTTTGATATACCTTCTGATCATTAGTTAATCAAAAATCAAATAGCTTAATTTATACGAAAGTATGTTTATTACACAAGACAACGGTCAAAATTTCAATTTTTTCCTTCCAAATTCTATTTAGCCGTTGTTTGATTTGGTTAAAGTTGGATTTTTAATAGATATTGACAAAAATTTGATGAAATGTATGATTGAAAAATTAATAAAAGCTGTAGGCTCTATAAATGTGTCGTTGGAAATGAGTTTTAAAAAAAATTAGGGCCCAATATGAACTTAATATATGTTTGAGCCCCATTCTTTTTTTAAAAATGCATTTTGAAATAACAGATTGATGGAGATTGTGTGGTTGCAAAATAAAGAAAAGTTTTGAGTTTGCATGTAATATCATTTTATTGAAAAATGTATGGTTGAAAAGAAAAAAAGAAAAATGTCACTAAAAATAATGAGAATCAAATAAAGGCTTAGTATGGTTCAATCTAGGGCAAGACATGAGATTTTTCTTACTTAAGTTCAACTCTAAATGTTGGGACCTTGTAATTGTATGGTTTCAAAAATTTTCCTTTATATATATGTGTATGTATGCGCACGCGCGCACACAGAGAGAGAGGAAAATAAAGAAATTCATAGTTACTCATCCAAATAAATTGAAAATAAATTTGGGTATATTTTGCAAATAAATTGTCACAAGGCTGTTTTCTTCGTAAAATAGTCCTGCATTCAATCAAATTTATTTGTTATTTGTGCGTAAAAAATGATAAATGTTATTCTTTTAATTTTGAAATTGAAAACAAAATTGGGGATTAAAGACTGGCCTAAGTGTTAACGAAGACTCAAGGGCGTGTTCTTATGCGTTGCTCACCCGTCCGTCACTAGAAACACCAAACTAGCATTTATATATAAATACAGAAGGATCTGAGATGAAAGTCTCATGCACGATTTTAAATGAAAGAAAGAAGTGAAGAATCCTTTTTTCGACTGCTTAATCTCTGTATTTGAAATCACTGCTTATATACTCGGTATTGACTATAATTTACAAGAATCAATAGATTCCGTTTGGAAGCGATTCAACTTTCCCGAACGCAGCATATTCAATACCTCTGTGTAGGTCTGGAATAATCCTTTATTCCATAACCTTGGGGCTATAAACCTACATACACATTGGCCCAATTTGACGCCTTTACCACTACACCAATAGCACTTGCTTGATCCAGATTTTTAAGAAGTGATTCTTTGAATTCCAGGTTTTGTTGGTGAAAGGGTAGTTAAAAGATCTAAGGAAAAGTTATGAGAAAATATGTAAAATAATTTTTTAAAAGAATGTATAGTTGAAAATGAGTGTGGAAGAGAAATAATTCTCAAATAAGCAAAATCAAAGAAGAGTTTATTGTAATAAATTTTATTATTATAATTTAAAATTTCAAAAAAAAAATGGAAAAAGAAAATTTTGGGACCCACAAAAATTCTAGAGTTGAAGCAGCCATATCTTGAACCTCACCTGAGGTTCGAGTTCGGTTCAATCTCATATAATCAAACGTGTCATTAACTATCCATGGACGGGTTAATTTCAAAAATATTTGTTTTATAGTCAAAATAAAAATGCTTCTGATCACTTTCAAGTCAAGGGTTTTGCAAATTTTGCGTTTGCTTTAAAATTGTATATAGTTTCAAGGAGATAGCAAGCAAGAAACACGGAATCAGAAACCTGCCTGAAATCTTGAAATCAAACAAACAGAAATGGAAGTATTGTCCTGAAAATCATAGCCAAATTCCAAGTTTTGTGATCTTACTAATCCTACTTTTACTTAAAGGGGGGACACATTTTCATTGATTAATCAATTTTAGTTAATTTCTTGTGCCATGTCCTTGAACTCCCAAATTTTTGTTTGTTGTCCTCTAATGTTTGACTTGTTGAATTTACCTAGTCAAAACAAGTTGAAAATGTATCTTTTTACAACTCCAATATAATTAATATATTTTGTAGTTTCTTTAACCTTAACTTGTGGAGCTAATTAAGTGTTGAATGTCGTGTAAATTTTTACTAATTACTCTTGTTTAGATTCAAAGCAAGGCAAGTTTGTTGGAATTCAAAACAAATTGAGACAAATTTACTTATCTTTTAAGTTTTAGTACTCATAAATGATTTTATAATAATCTTCGGCATCTCAAATTCCCACTTAAGAGCATGTTTGACTAACTTGAAAACAATTAGGACTCAAGTATTTAGACAAGATAGTCAGTCCGCCTAAGGCCTCCAATCTATCGAAAGCTCCTAGGCAATTTTGCTTAAAGTTCTCAAATTGTTTGAGCCGTCTAGTTGAAAGAGTTTATTTATAAGTAAATAAGTTTTAAAATAATTTCGTGGGATCCAAAATAAGAGAACTGTAAAATCTAAACATGCACTATTCTGTATTTTAAAGCTACCTTTTTGCGTATATACATTGGGAATTGGATTCAATTATATATAGCTTATGTTTGAACCCCACTCTAGGATAAAATAAGTTTTGCAATAGTGATTTTCTTAAAAAGAAAGTGTGATTAAAAAGTAAGAAAAATTTTGAATTTACGTACAAAATTATTTTATTATAAGGATGTTGATTTAAAATGAATTTAAAAAAATAATAAAGAATGATGTTCAAACAAGGGCTTAATTATACTTGTTTGGCAGCAGATATCAAGGAATAAAATGCATATCTTTCTAGGTATACTAAAAAAAAATTAATATATTAAGGGAGACAGTTAGTCCCCTTTTAGATACAATTTATATTTTGATTTGTAAATTCAGTAAAAGTCAAAAATTAATTTTAACAATCCATTTATACATATTTTGTGAGATCTACTACCATTTATCTTATTATTTCTATTTATAAATTTGTCAAATCGAGGCTAAAATTTATTACTAGATTCATTAGGATAAAATAAATAGATCCTTAATTAACAACTAACTCTTTAAGATAAATTCAAAGTGCGATTAAATTCATTTGTCACAAAAAATCGCCTAATATAATTAACTCATATCAAATAAACTAATAAAATGTACACTAATTAATTAAACCCCAAAATGTGCGAGGGAGAATGGTGGATTACGAATTAATTTAAAAATCATTATAAAATAAATTCTGAAAAAGTCTACAATATATGTGCAATAATTTTACATCTCAGAATCAAATAAACTTTGATAGCTGGAATTACTTTAACCATATAATAGTGAAAATTTTATAAATAAATTATAATTTTATTATTTTAAAAATTGACAGTTCAATTGAAAATGTAAATTGTGCTGCTTATGGAAACATTTTGTAACAATGGAACAAGAGAATTATTTATTAAATGATAGCGATAGAAGAATGCACCTTGAAAGAGCTAAGAGTCAATTTTTTGTTAAATTCAATAGAATTACTTTATTTATTAATCTTTCACCATGCATATCCACATATGCTTAATTCAATATTTTATTAAATGGTAAACAATTTTCATAAATAGTTGACGACGATACTTAGAACACTTTGAATCGTCTATTTAAAATTCAAATTGTTTGGATAAACAATACGTTTGCTTATCTACATTTGTTCTTCAATACAATATTATTACTTTACAAAAGGTGTGTGTATATATATATTGTAATATTATAATTGAAGGTGGGTTTTTTGCCCTCGTTCTAAGGAGGAACAACCAGGCTATAGCGTCAGACTACTTGACATAATCCTTGACATATTGCCACATGACATGCCATCATTAGGTCATTTTAAACGCAGACAACTTTTCTATCTAAATATTTGTTGCCATCTTGAATAATGTCATTATATGTGTTAAATTTCTTCTATCAAAGGAGGACACATGAAAAAGTGTAGGCCACCTGATTTTAATTTTTACTTGTTCATAGTCTTATCACACTTAACAACCTCAATTGCTACAGTATCCTTTGTCTCTCACAACCCACCCCTCTATTTAATGCTTCATCCATTAGTGTTCAACACTCTCAAAATATATACAATTTGCCATCGCTTTTTTTACTTCTCCAACTTATCTTTCAGAGAATAATTTCTCCTGTTGATCATATAAATGTCTGTAAAATCACATTTTCTCATCCTATTTCTGGGTTTTATCATGCATTCATATGCATGTAATGCTCGTCATATTTCTGTGGTTACAGACTCAGATTTTCTCAAGAAATTTCATGTCAACAAGGTTTGTTTACCCCCTCTCCACTCTTGATCTCTTTCTCTCTAAAGTTCCATAACACTTATATATGCAGCAAATGTTTATGTGAGAGGTGAGAGAAATTAATTGTTGGGATGGGGGGTTAGGGTAGGTGAGGTTTGAAATGAAACAAATTATCGATAGATTCGATCCACTAAGGTCTTAAGCAGCCATGTAAGATCACATTCTCGTCAATATTTTCATTGTTAGAACTTATAATCTTCATGCGACTATTTAAAGAAGATTAGGGCAACAATATTGAAAAGTTTGAGACCAACTTGTTACAGAGATAATAGGTTGTAGACCAATGGAAAAAATATCCTCAAAAAATATGTTTTTAAAGCTAGTATATTATATTTTTTTTATTTTTTTTATTTATTTATTTTTAATTATGTCTATATCTCATTACCCCATCTCATGTGCCAGTCTTTGAAAAAAATAAGTTTTATAGATATGGTTTATTTGTTTGGAGTAATATTTTCACAATGTTACCTACCATGTAAGTCGAGTTTATTTTTCGTCAATTAAGTTAAACTTCATAAATGGAGTTATATGAGATACGACTATTCTGATATCTCGTTATACTGTGCAGATTGAAGATAAATTTAAACTCGACGTGAATTCAATTGAAGATCGTACACGGCATACAAATGCACGCAGATTGCCTAGCAGGATTCCCAGTAATGCAATTAGTCCCAATTCAGGAGAAACCGGAGCTCTTCACGAGGGAAAGAAAGGCTGCAAAGAAGCGAAAAAATCAGGTCTAACTTCATTCAAGTCTCCTCAATCCATATCCTCGACCCATGACCCGCCGTCCCAATCACAACTAATTTTTACTCAGATAGTTTATAAGTGTTTAGACGAGATGCTTCAACTCTTCCTCGCACGTTTGCAATGGTGAATTGAGAAAAACTTCCAAAGGAATAAATATAATTGTTAGGGAAATATATTGGTTAAGCCACCATGTACTATTTTGACATGTTTGATTAGGTTAATTGAAATGGGATTGAATAATATTAAAGAAAAAATAAAGTTAAAACATTATCTATTATAGTTTCAATATTTCGTGCCAAATATTAACATTTTCTTACGTATTTATTGATGGGTTTAAACATGCAGGCAGTGAAATTTGTGAGTCTTCTTCTCCCCACAAGGTATTGCTAAATTCAGCAAAATTTGAGGTAATTAAAACAGCGTTTTTTTTTTTATCTCGTTTTATGGTGTATATGTCCAAAAAGTATTAACCGAGTTCAAAAATATATACTTTCATAATAATTCAATATTAATCCCCCTCACCCTAGCTACATTCTTCGTTTCAAAAGTTAAAAATATATACGTCACAAACCTAGGGTAAATAAAATATATACGTCACAAAAAATATTAATTATCACGTCAAATCATTTTAATGAGACATACCAATCATGCATCCTCCTTCGGTCCGATCAATTTCTTCATGTTCAAATTGAGGCCTGGTATGGAATTGATTCAATCATGGAATCATGAATAGTCATTGGTTCAGTTGTACATAGACATCGCGTAATCTAGACCCCGCCGGGAGTGATTTTTTATCCAAAAAAATTGATTTTTTACCCGTTATTTCATTATTTCAGCCGTAATTTTTGACTCCTTCTCTCACAGATGGCTCCTACTTTTTTTCTAATGATCAAAAAATCAATTTTCAGAATCCCTACCGAACATACCCTGAAAATGACAAAGCAAATGGTTACTGCCAACATTCGTGCATACAAACATTTGCAAGCACGAAAGGTCTTTTGTTTTCTATGAAAGAAAGCATTGATCAGTGCACTATTTTTGTGTATTGTCATGTCAGCTACATTTACCCAAACATATTTGGATGGTGTTTTCATTAAAGGTCTAACACATAAGTTGTTTTATATACCTGAATTCAAGACTTCTGTGTACATTAATCCCATGAAACTATAGACAAAAAACATAAGTTATATGGCATTAATGGCTTAGCATAAAATGTTTAAATTAAAAAAAAAAAATTATTGATATTGGTTTTTTATTTTCCATGTTTACAGAATTTCTCCAAATTGATTAATTAGTAAAAGTTTATTTTGACAGTAATGGCAGAATTACTCTAAAAAAAAAGCCAATTTAGTTGGTCAAAAAAATTTACGCTTTGGCAAGCATGTATATAAAATAACATATAGGAAAACAATTTGTTTAATTAAATATTTATATCTTTAAGATTCATTTTTCTTATGTGTTGTGCAGTTGTGCCTAAATTTAACATTTGCCTTCTGACTATAATATCAGTAACAAGGTTAAAAAATTGTCAATATGCAATAATTTGTAGAGAATTCTCAAAGAATATACTCATAAAATGGAATTTAAATGACCTGATTTTATTAATATGTTGCAATCATTTTCTTGTGTAGGATTCAAGATGGAAAGCATTAATGGATCATAAAGAGAAGGTTTCGACTTTTACCATTGATATTGAACAAGAAGATAAGATAATGGATACAGACTATCATCCTCCACACCGTAAAGCACCTATTCATAACAAATAAAATAATCACTCTATTAAAGTTAATTACTTTATTAATACATAGATTTTACTCTACGGACATTTAGAACATGTTTGGTTCATTGTACTAGATAGTTTATATAATATAAGAATAAAATATATGCTTTTTATATTCTTGTTTCATAATGCTACATAACCAAACATGTGCCATTAGGATTATATCGATGGGACAACATATAATCAATATTGTCTTCTTCATCAATCCAGTTAAATTGTGTTCAATATAGTATTATTGGATGTAATTGATACGTTATATTGAAATCTGAGTTTCATTTAAGTCTTAGACATATGTAATTGCTTGTTTGAATTTTTTGAGTACCAGTACTACATATATGTTTGTCAAAACATTTAATTGCTTATAAACAATGATTTCTAAGAAAATATGCGATTAAAAAGTAGTTATATTGTAATTTTACGAAATATATGGTAAAAAAGAGTTTCACATAAGTACTTATAGCTCTACCAAACAAGGACAATTCTTAAAAGTAATACATTAATAAGTGAATATACAGTTGAAATCTTTATACGGTAATTATTATAATATAGGAATGTATACTGTCCACGCCAATGTCAAACATACGTCATCTACAAATTGAGTTTAGGTTCCAGCTTTAATATAGCAGCACATTAAAAAATAAATATTATAAATGATTTATAAATTCAATCATTATCAAATATTAACTTCAATCAGACATTCATAATTACTATTAATTTATTATCTATATGTTTTGTAAAACCCACTACATTACTCTTATGAATGATAAATATTTCAAAAGAAAGTTATTGCATTAACAAATGCGTTAAATTATCGTCTTTTACTTGCTGAAAAACTGTGGCTTGCCTTCCTGGCTTCAAACATTACTCACCAAATCCACAAGCAATAATAATAATAATAATAGAGTAATTAGCACAAAAACGTCCTCATCGTTTGCACTCATTGCACAAATTGGTCGCATCGTTTCAAATTTGACATTTGCACCCTTATCTCAACATTTCCTTGCGAAAATTGGTCATTTCCACTCATTTTGTTAAATCCTTCTGTCAAATATCGGTAACTAGCTCAAAATATCCTTATCGTTTGCCTTCATTGCGTAAATCATCCTCATCGTTGCAAATTTGATATTTTGACCCTCAAATCGGCCTTTCTCTGTGCAAAAGGTCCTTATCACCTATTTTTTTCATTAAAACATTATAAAATGACTAATTCACTTTCTTCTTTAAATTAAAATATAGCACAGAGAGAGAGATAATAAAAATAATTGTAATCAAAGTCCTAAATTTTTTGAACAGTGCATACAAGTCCTGTTTTAAATAATTTAGAATGGGTATTAACAAAAAAACCATCTTCAAAAAAAAAAAAAAAAAAAGGACTTATTTTCCTTTTAGTTGGGTTTGAATTAGAATAGCTGAAATTGTGATTTGGATTAAAATCTTGAATGAGACTTCTAATGATAGAAGAAACAAAACTATCTTCAAACATCGCTTTGTAAGGTAAAAGAAATTTAAACAAAATCAAAGCAAAATTTAAAAACAGTTGTGTGACATATACATAATAGCTCACAAACACATGATGTATTGAGATATGATTGAATTAGAATTTATTTAACCAAATAATAATAATAATAATAAAAGTTCCCAACTCTTTTTTTGACACTTCATCTATATGTAAATAATTAGGTTGACTCCCTTATGTACAAGTGTATGTGTATATATATATATATTAAAAATAGGCGAGAACATAGAGGTCATTTACAGATTTTTTTTTTCAGAATTTATTAGACATGGTCTAATTATAAATAAAAAGAAAATATTTTTATTTAAAGAATATATAGAATTTTTAGGAGTAAATATAGGAAAAGGAAAAATAGAGTTACAACCTCATATAGCTCAAAAAGCTTTAGATTTTCCAGATAAACTTGAAGATCTTAAGCAGTTACAAAAATTTTTAGGATTAGTTAATTATGCTAGACCCTTTATTAAAGATTTAGGAAAAATTGCAGGACCCTTATATGGAAAAACTTCACCAAAAGGTCAAAGATATTTTAATATAGAAGATATTAAATTAGTCCAAAAAATAAAAGAGAAATTAAAAGACTTACCTAAATTATCTATGCCATTAGAAACAAACTATTTAATTATAGAAACAGATGGAAGTATAACAGGATGGGGAGCAATTTTAATTGCAAAACCCAATAAATATGCAGATAAGGATAGTGAAAAAATTGTAAGATATAATAGTGGAAACTATAAAGAAAAAGGTAATATAAGTAGCATAGACTTAGAATTACTTGCAGTTAATTATGCATTAGATTCTTTTGAATTATTTATTATTTCTAAAAAAGAAATTACTTTAAGAACAGATTGTGAAGTAATAGTAAGTTTTGTTAATAAAATGAAATTAGAAAATAAAAGAAGTAATCGAAGAAGATGGTTAAATTTTATAGATAGAATTACTAATACTGGATTAGTAATTAATTTTGAACAAGATATAATCTTTGTTAATTATTATGCTACCATTATCTTTTAATAAGAAACTTAATCCTAAAATTAAATCTGTATTTAAAGATAATTCTCTTACCCATACTGAGTCTTTAGGTAAACTATATTCTGTACTTTTTCTACAATTAGTCTCAAAACTAATTCTTGCTGGTTTTAAGATATCTTGGTAACTATAAAAATTCTCATCTATTTGTTGGGCTTCTATAGGTTCTTTTGACTTTATTATATATTTTTCTAGTATGATTCTTTTATTAATTACACAATGACTACATCCTGAATCTATTAAACCTAAACAAATTATTTCAAAATTTTCTATTCTAACATAACATTTTACTTTAATACTTTTTAATTTTTCTGAATTGCAAAAAACTTGAACTAATTCTGGTTCAGGAGTAATTTCTGGGTTTTTTCCTTTTTTATTTAATTCCAAGGATTCTAATTTTTGTAAAATATATCTTTGCATATCTTCTAAGTTTTCTATTCTTTTTCTTAATATTTTTATTTCTGATAATTCTATTTGAATTGAATCAATCTGATTATCCTCTTCAAATTCTACTAAGTCTTTTTGTATTAAGCATTTTTTACATGCTTCTAAAAAATAATTTTTACATTTAACTCTTAATTTTTTACTAGGATACCATTTACATAAAAAACATGGTATACTATCTGAACCTGTTTCTTTTACCCATTTATGTTTACATTCTAATTCTATATCCATAAATTCTAATTTTTCATCTGAATCTGATAAATTTTTAATATTTGAAAATTCTTGTATAAAATTTTCATAATCTGATTGTTCTTCTAAATTACAATTATTATTATAATCTTCTATTGATATAATACTATATACTGACTCTTTATCTGAAACATATTCATCTATTTCTAACAAGTCTTCATTAGTACATTCTACTAAAGTACTTCTTGTCATTATTATTTATCTTTTTTGGACATATCTTAGCTAAATGATCTGTTTCTCCACAAACATAACAATTTAGTTTATTAGGATAATTTCTTTCTGATTTAAATTTTCTAAAATGTCTATTTTCATCTAAATAAGGCTTTCTTCTATTAGATTTTCTAAGATAATATCTTTTCTTAAAAGGTTGACTAATTTTCCTTTTATCATATTTTCTTTTAATCTTTTCTCTAAACTTATTACCATAAGTCTGAGATGTGAAAATATCTTTACAAAATTTATAATCTTTCTTTTTTAGTTGATTCTGGATTTGTAATTCAACACATTTTTCTTCTAAACATTGCATTATGAATTGTGTTCTTATTCCTATACTCCATAAATGATCTGATTTTTCTATAACATTCTTATTTTCATTCCATCTTTTTGTTATTTCTAATCCTAAGGGACCTGGTAATTTATGGAATAATTTTTTACCTAATTCTTGATTAAAAGTATTACCTGATATAGAAACAAGATAATGATATTCATTTAAAAATTGTTTAACTTCTTTTCCTTTAGTCCATCTATTTAAACTAAGTTGTTCAAGATTTCTGATAGCTTTATGTTGAATTAATAAATGTCCTCTATTTGAATCTGCTCCTGTTAATAATTCATGTATCTTACTAACAAAATTATAAGGATTATTTCCTAATGCTACTAATGCTTCAAATTCTGTTTGTTTATCTTTCTTAAAAGCTTCCCATGTAGTTTTAGCACTTTCTCCTAAAAATGTTTCTAAATATCTATACATTTCTAATGATTCCATATTATCTGCTAATCTAATATAATGACCTAATATTGTATTCTTCCATACTTCTATTATATTATTCCAAGTTTGAGGATCATGTGCTGTAATATTTAATATTTGTGGTTTATGTGGTGTCTGAAATTCTATTTTAGGTTCTAAAGGTCCAACCTTTCCTCTAGCTATATAATTTCTTTCTTTATCATTATAATCTGTATAAGCTATTCTAGGAGGATGACCACCTAAATATTGATATTGTTCTGGTTCTGTTTTAATTTGCATAATTTCATATGTTAATTCTTTGTAATTACTATCCTTTGAAATTTCTGTTTTATTATCAATTTCCTCTATATTAATTCCTACTCTTATATTTTTACAGTTATCATAATATAAATATTCTTTTTCTCCTATTTGTTTAATTATAAACAAATGATCTTCTAATTTTAAAAGTTCTGTAGGAGATAAATTCATTTCTAATTCCTTAGGATAAATTATTCTGTCTTCTATTTCTATTTCTACTGCAATAAGAAATTCTTCTGTTTTTTGTTGTTCTTCATCATTATTATTATATCTGTTTCAGAATCATTATTTCTATTTATATGACTATAATTTCCAAACCTTAGACTAATTCTTCCATTCAAATCTTTATATGTTATAGCTTCTTGAGGAGCAAAATTGGTTCTTGAGTTTCCAAAATTTTTTCTAAATCCCATTCTAATTCTGCGAAAAGTTCTGAATCATAGGTTTTAGGCTTAATCATTTTTATTCCTTTACTACTCATTAAATTTATTACTTTATCTATGTATAATTTGTATTTTGTTTGAGAATTATTACTACATCTTCCTAAAAATCCTATACTTATTAATAAATTTTCTCCTGAAATAACACTTCATATCCATGTGTTTGGATTCCTATTTTAATTTTTTCTGAAAAATCTTTTATAGTTAATAAAAAATCTGGATTAC